GCTGTCCATATGCCGGAGGAGTGGGCCTGCAAGATGGTAAAACAGAAGATGTAGATGCGGTCCAAGCAGGAGTGCCATGACTGAGACTCCTCCACCCAGGCATAGGTGATGGTAGTGGAATCATCCAGATGGTCATGCCAGACTTCTACCAGGAAAGGATGGTCGATGATCTCCCTGAAGATGTCTGTGGAGGCCTAGCAAGTCTGTCTGCCAGTGGGGCCACACGAGTCAAGGGCAGTGTTAAAGTCCCCACCCAGGACTAGGCACTTGCGAGGATCCTTAACTCCCGCAATCAGACCTACACCATCGCATCTCTCATCATCAGGGGCAACAGGGTGAGTCTCCACAGGTACCAGGTACTATCCTACCTTCGCACACGTGGTAGATACTCTGATCTGTGACCAGCTCAGGTGGTGTCATGGTCCAGGGGAAAGCCTACCTTGGGATCCTTTTGAGCATCCCCGCCCCAGCAACCCTGCTCCCCATTGAAGGGGCCCTTCTGCAAGCGCTCGCCTGCACGAAGCCACCACACCTCGGATATTGGGAGGCAGGCTCAGTGAACACCTCTCCAGTCCCTGGACTCCGGGCACCAGCAGTGAAACTCCAGGCGCAGCCCTCCAGGAACCTGGCGCAGGCCTGTAGAGAGACATGCCCTCCCGGCAGGAGCATCGAGACTGGCCCCTTATGTCTCCAATGCTTCGGCACCACTCACAAGCCCACTTGTGTGAGCGGAATCACCAATCACCGGCCCACCGGCACCGATCTCAGTGATACAGATCCCTGTGGTCAAAGAGATCCTCTTGTCAGCAGGCCCAGTCTAGCTCCCGATCCTGGTACCAGTCGAGCAGTATGAGGTGTTGATCGCCGGGTTACCGATACTAATCCGCTGATCACCACTGGTCCCCGAGGTCCTGTGACAAGGACTCGTCCCGTTCGGACAAGTCCACACTGGGACGCAGCAGTCGGCACCGCATGGGGAAGGACTGCCGGTCCTCCCAATCTTGGTTGCCAGACAGTGACCACTCCGCCTCTGATGCCGGCACCAAGCGGGGATCCTTGGCACCGGGGCAAGTTCTGACTCCGGCGGTACCACCCACATCTTTGGCACTGCAATTGCCCCTATGGCCACAGGGACAGTGGACGATGCTTTCGTACCCCTGGAACTCCTGGGGGTTTACCCAGCCTCCTCAGGTCACCCGATCAGTATCAGGGGCCTCGGAGAGGCCATTGGCCTCAGCATCCCGTCCTCCCCTTCAGATGCAGGCCCCAGAGGAGAGGACCCCCCCAGGCTCATTAGGTCCTGGAGAAACAGCCCACCACCCATTCCGGGGGACAGGGCAGATCCCACAGCACCGGCCTCCTCCTCGTCATCACCGGACCATTCCCCCAGCAATACTTACCTCGTTGCAATGGTGGACCAATTGGGAGAAGGTCTGAAGGGAGTTCCTCTCTCTGATGCCTTCCTCCTGTCATGGTCAGGGAGCCTGATGTGCGCATTCCCTCTGATCCCCCTCATCGGCAGTGTCCTGGTAAAGATCAAGAGGGACAAGGTACAGGCTATCATGATTGCCCCAGCGTGGCCACACCGGCACTGATTCTGCACGCTCATGAATCTGGCAGCGGGCCCTCCCTGGCCCCTTCCCAAACAACCGGACCTGCTGTCACAAGATCATGGTCGGCTCCTGCAGCCCAACGTCGCGTCTCTCCACCTCTTGGCGTGGATGCTCCATGGCTGAACCCGGAGGAATGCACCTGCTTGGAGGAGGTCCAGCAAGTCCTCCTGGGAAGTAGGAAGCCCTCAACCAGACTGACTTACCTTGCTAAGTGGACGAGGTTTCCCCACTGGGCGTCTCAGCATGGCATATCTCCCTCGCATTCTTTGGTGCAGTCCATCTTAGACTACCTGCTGCATCTCAGAAACCAGGGTCTGGCACACTCTTCCATAAGAGTGCATCTCGCGGCCAATTGGCTGTTATCTAAGGCTGTAGAGCAGACTCATTTTATCTCTCTCTAAGTGGTCTCAGTGCCACTAGATGGGACAGAACACCACACCCAGAAGGTGTGTGGGTTACACACTTCCCCTAGCTGAGGAAGCATGTCCCGAGCTTCAGAGACTTCCCAGTTGAAATCCCGGACGAGCCCCACTTGTAATGCCGACAGACCCCAGTTGGCGGCGGGCAGGACTGAACCAGGGACCTCTGGAGCTTAGTGCATGAGCCTCTACAGCATGAGCTAAAAGCCACATAGCTCTTAACTAAAGCTGTAGGGCAGACTCATTTTATCTCTCTCTCTAAGTGATCTCAGTGCCACTAGATGGGACAGAACACCACACCCAAGAGGTGTGTGGGTTACACAAGCACTCGAAGTAGAAAAGACAGTTACCTTTTTCAGTAACTGGTGTTCTTTGAGATGTGTTACTCATGTCCATTCCATGACCCACCCTCCTTCCTCATTGTCGGAGTTTCCGGCAAGAAGGAACTGAGGGTGAAGGGAACCGGCGGCACCCCTTATACCGCGCCATGCAGGCGCAACTCCAGGAGGCGCCAGAGCCGGTCCCGTGTGGATACTGCTGAGGGAAAAGCTTGCAGCACCGGTGCATGTGGCGAGCACACACCCCTAATATGGAATGGACATGAGCAACACACCTAGAAGAACACCAGTTATGGAAAAAGGTAACTGTCTTTTTTGTTCTCAGTGCAGGGTTTGAATAGCATGTGGGAAATAAGGTCTGGGGCCAGAATGAGGAGGATGAAAAGAATATTCAGTGGCTGCTCATTCAGAGAGCATCATCCATCCTGTGCACTGAATGAGACAGAGGGAAAATAAGAATATAATCACTGCCTCACTGGTTCACACCAATGTCCATCTTTTCCAGAATCCTTTGTCCAACAGTGGCCTGTACCAGAGCTTCAGGAGGAGTGTACAGAACAGGGCAATTATGGAGTGATCCATCCTGTCTTCCACTCCTGGCTTCCGCTAGTCAGAGGTTTAGGGTCACCCTGAGCAGGGGGTTGTGTCCCTGACCATCTTGGCTAAGAGCAATTGATGGACCTATCCATCATGAATTCAGCCAGTCCTTTTGTGAATTCAGTTATAATTTTTGCCATCACACCATCCCATGACAATGAGCTCCATAGGTTAGTTGTATATTGTGTGAAAAAGTACTTCCTCTGGTTTGTATTAAACCTGCTGCCTGATAAGCTTTATTGGGTGGGTTTTTGTATTGTGTGAAAGGGTACATAACACTCCTCCATTCACTTTTTCTACACCATTCATGATTTTAGAGACGCTATCATATCCCCCTTAGTCATCTCATCCCTAAAATGAACATCCCAAATCGTTTTAGTCTTTCTTCATATGGAAGCTGCTCCAGATCCTTAATAATCTTTGTTGTCCTCCTCTGAATCTTTTTCAGTTCCTCTATATCCTTTTTGAGATCGGGCGAGCAGAACTGGACACTATTTAAAGTGTGGGCACACCATGGATTTATATAGTAGGATTATGATATTTTCTGTTTTATTTTCTTTACCTTTACTAATAGTTCCTAACGCGCCATTTGCCTTTTCAACAGCTGATGCGCATTGAGTGGAAATTTTCAGAGAATTATCTATGCTGGCGCCAAGATCTCTTTCTTGGTGGTAACAGCTAATTTAGAAGCCATCATTATATATGTATAGTTGAGATTATTTTTTCCAATGTGCATTACTTTGTGTTTGTCAATGCTGAATTTCATCTGCCATTTTGTTGCCCAGTCACTCAGTTTTGTGAGATCCCGCTGTAACTCCTGGCAGTGTCCTTTGAACTTAACTATCTTGAATAATTTTGTATGGTCTGGAAATTTTGCCATTTCACTGTTCATCCCCTTTTCCAGATTATTAATGAATATGTTGAACAGCACACCTCTCAGTACAGATCCTTGAGGAACCCTGCTGTTAACCTGTCTCCATTGTGAAAAATACTGATTGTTTATTCCTACTCTTGTTTCCCATCTTTCAACCAGTTACTGATCTATGAAAGAACCTTCCCTCTTAGCCCAGGGCTAGTTAGTTTCCTTAAGAGCATTTGGTGAGGGACCTTGTCAAAGGCTTTCTGAAAATCCAAAAACATTATATCGACTGGATCCCCCTTATCCACATGCTTGTTGACTCCCTCAGAGAATTCTAATACATTGGTGAGGCCTGACTTCTGTTTACAAAAGCCAATTGACTCTTCCCCAGAAAATCATGTTTATCTATGTGTCTGATAATTCTGTTTTTTACAATAGTTCCTTCCAAATTGGCCTATAATTGCCAGGGTTGCCTCTAGAGCCCTTTTTGAAAAATTAGTGTTACATTAGCTGCCTGACAGAATAATCCTTGGGTGATAGAAAGCAGGTGTAGCCAATTCCATACCATCCTCCTGCCTCCATGTAAGGGGTGTGGAGAAGCATGGAGGTTTATGTCTGGGGCAGAGTGCATGGTGCTCCACCTATCCTAGGCCAGCAAAGCATCTAGGCTAACTTAGGCCTGTGGGGAGAGGGCGTGAGGATCCCCTGCAGCAATGAGAGCTGAGATCAGGCTGCTTCCATGGAGAGATTCTGTGAGCTGGATTTTGCAGCCTCTGCTCCCTGTGAGCGCTGAGTAGCCCCACAGCGATCAATGGGACTGCCCGTGTCAGTAAGTGCTCCCCACCCTGAGTAAGGGCTGCCCAATCCAGCCCTTTACGTGCAGAAAGGACATTACTGTCCCTGCCCAGAGCTCGCAGGGTGAATGGGGTGTGGGGGGAGCAGGCCAGGCTACAGACTGCACCAGCACTTCTCCTCCCCTCCCCCAAGTGAGACACACCAGCTGGCAGTGAGCTCAGCAGGCAGGGCAGTGACAATGATACAGATCCTGTGGGCTCTGGCAGGCAGCTGGGCAAGACCCCAGTGGTGGGCAGCGCAGTGACAGAGACTGTGGGCTCAGGCATCATGTCTGCAGAGAGAATTAGCATGTGTTTTTCTCTCCTTATTTTCCCCTCAGGTTCACCCATGTTGATTTAACTACAGGAATGCGGGCAGAGCTGAATGCTGTGAAAAAGGTAAAACCTAATCTGGACATAGAATTATAGACAAGGTATTGAACGGGAGCCACTGCACCAAGACAGCACTGGCCTGGCTGCCCTGCCACTAGCTGGGTCAGCAGCCAGGGACAGTTGAGAACCTGGCCCTCCTAAGAGGGATCCCACCATTCCCAGAGACTCCATCATCCTGGGATCCAATGTGGAATTATGATTCTGTTCCAATCGCTCAGTCACTCTTTGTTGTATGTTTCTTCCCCCCGCCCCTACAGTTTTACACAATCCCACAGCTATTAAGACGGCTTTCTGTGTCCGTCTCCAACATTTGTTTATGCCAGATGTACGTTTCTGTATCAGTTTTGCTGGAGTCCAATAAAGATCATGAATCAAGAACTGATGCTACACTTCAGAATTTGTATTTCTTGCCATAGTTTGTGCTGTTCTTGTGCACAAGAATTCTCCCATTCTCCAAGGCTGGGGGAGTCCTCAGGGATGCTTCCCAGACCACTTTCTCAGGGTCCCAGTTTCTTATTCATTATGGTCAAGAAGCTTGTGCAGGCAAAATGACAGTTTGGGCAGCTAAAAGAGGGTTTGTTTACCCTTCTCTGGGTGCTCATGGCTTTATCAGAAAGGTGCTGTAGGTGGCCATGAAGATTCATTTGGGAGTGGAAAATAAAGAAGCAGGACAGGGAGATGATTAATGGCCAATCACCCAGTTGCAAGAGCCCAGACAGATGCTACTGACTGTTCTAATTATGCCCAGTGCACTACTAATTTAGCAGGCACAAGTGAAGACATTTACCTCATAGCCACTCACTTGCTCTCACAGCTACAAAAGAGCCACAGACCCTATTACACACTGATTAAAATATCCCCAAACACACACTTTGGGTCTGAGTGAAACACATAGAGCTGAGGTGTGCTTGGCCTGGGCAGGAGCAGGACTAGGCTTTCCTTAGCTCTGCGCTAAACAGTTAGAAGAAAATACACATTTTAAAAGCAGGTCATGTTGGAGAGGGGAGGGCTGGAGATAGTAGGGGACTGTAGCCTGAGAGCCACTTGACTAAATGAGTCCAAGTTTCAACCACTAACTCCACCCTAGCAATGTTCAGACCAATCTGCTACTGCACATGGATTTTAAAATGCTTGGAAAAATCAGCTGTAAACTGCAACACAACCTTAGCTATGGGGCAGCTCTTTTCCCTCCATAATTGAAAAGGGGCCTCTGGGAGAATCCTAAACTACTTTACAAAGGGTGACTATAGGTGAAGAGCCATTACATGCTCAGTGGGCACTTGTACGGCATTCCCACACCATGCGATCATGTGAGCGGAAATTTGGAAAGTCTTGAAAATAATCCTGGGGAGTGAGGAAATTGCAGGGACAGTCCAAGAACTATTGGAGAAGTTATTGGCCATGAAATCTGAGCATGCTATGCATGCAGAGACAGAATTTGATATGCCATGTCTGCCTCCAGGTGGTGCTTGGTGACTGATAATGCCTAGCTTAGGAGTAACTAGCAATGAGAGTGCCAAGAAGGTGTCACCCGCCTATTTCCTAATGCTCCTTGTCTCTTCTTGTTCTCTGGGGGTTACCAAGTATGTTTGTCTTCTGATTAAAAAATGTTTCTTCACTCTGAGGAGCCATAAACTGGATTTTTTAGTGTATGAATTCATAGCAATTGAAGCAGGCCATGCAGTAGTTTATGCTGCTAATCCTGGATTGGTTTATATGGTAATTCCTCTGTTACAAGACAAGGATGGAGCCGGTACAAATTCTGCCCTCAGTTACATCTGTGTAACACCTCTGACCCATAGAAGGTACGCCTGGACGAGACCTATGATCTTCCTGCCAGCCCAGGGTTGTTCCTGCAAAAGCCAAAAGGACTGCACAGGGGGTAACTCAAGGTGGAATTTGACCCTAACACACTCTGGGTGATTCTCCCATGCACGGCCCCATGTCCACACAGCTGCGTCTGAGCAAAGCTGGTATGAAGAGCATATTAAACCTTAATAGGGAATTTCACTCACTCTGTAGGCCTAATACTTCTGCCACTGGAGTCAACTGCACAACCCATTGACTGCAGGGGGCAGGAATGGGCTGTAACAGGGGGGTGCAAACCTCAAACTGGCTTAACAAACCGTTGTGGGCTTATTTAGCCTTGCCTTGCTACACCTGCAGAAGGGGTGAGGCTTGGAGGGAAGGGTTAAAAGGGGATTGCCCAGCTGAGGTACGAACTGGCTGGGAGGGAGCCTAGACCTCTTGCTCTCAGAGTGAGAGAAGCCTGCCTGGGGCCCAGGACCTGACTCGAGACAGCTGCCTGCTAGAGCCTCCTTGAGGGGCTAGTGTTTGTTTGTTACCAGTGACTTTCCTGTGGGTGCTGAGCAGGCTGCAGGTGCCCCTCCCCATGGGTGTAACAGCCAAACACAGAGCTGACTAGGGACTCAACAGTGCTCTGTAGCAACAACTCGAGCAACTGGCTCACCCAGGCTTTGTGGGTCTGATGCAAAGCCCACCAAAGTCAAAGGGAGTCTTTCCATTGATGTTAATGGGAGTTGGATTCACTCATATGTGACAAAGGTACCTCAGGAGTAACCTTCACGTCACACCTGCATCAGTTTCTTCTTAGGATGTGACTGGGCTGCTTCGGCGCTTACTTTGAAGATGGTGTTTTCCTCAGACTCTAAAGCAGAAGCCAGGGTGAGTCGGGTGTGATGGTCTCGTTCTCGGTCTGTGTTAGAACATTCCCATCCTCGGAGTGTCCCATGTTCTATGCAGTCAGGTTCCTCTTCCAAACTGTAGCCACAGAGCATCTGGCAACACCAGAAGATGGGAGACCCTAGCTGCATTTTGTAATGGTTACAGAGTAGGGTGACCAGACAGCAAGTGTGAAAAATCAGGACGGGGGGTGGTGGTGGTAATAGGAACCTATATAAGAAAAAGACCCAAAAATCGGGACTGTTCCTATAAAATCGTGACATCTGGTCACCCTATTACAGAGTGCGCCTTGCTCCGTGGCTGCCCCTCTCCCCACGCACCCTGCTGTGATGTGTCCCTTTTTGTGCCCCCCCCCCATGGCCTTTTTTTGTAAATGATTGTTGCCTGGCATGTGGTCGTGACAATGGGAACATCTTTGCCTTTGTGTGATATGGCAGGTCACCCCGGGATCCTGTTTCATTGCAGGCAGCATGTGACAATCACTGAGTGGTGCAGACAGGAGATGTGGAGGGAGCAAAGAGTGGCCAAAGCAGCTGAATGGATTAACGGGTGAAGTGGGGCCCCTCAAATCCCAGCCAGTTCTCGTCAGGAGGGGAGTGACGTTTTCACAGGGCACAATGTGAATACTGCACTGGTGCAGATCTAGGGGTTTTCTACTGCATGTGCCATGGCAGTCAAAGCTTTTGCAGAGAGAGACATTTCCCCTGCCTACTTCTTCAGCATTTGCCTTAGGAGCTGCTTGGACTGGTTCTTGCTTGAAGCCACGAGGTCCCTCTCAGCCTTGGTCTACTCTCGTGTTCCCCATGTAGCAGTAACAGGGCCCTCAGTTCAGGGATTATAACATCTCTTCCCGCTGCAACTGAGGCAGGGAATGAACAGAGGGGAGTGCAGGGTGTTTGCAGGGCCCACATCTTTGGCTCTTTCTGTTCCCCAAAGGGGCTTCTGTCTGCACTTGTGCATTTCTGGTGTGAAACCCGCTGGAGAATCAGAATGGCACAATTTAGGGGGTTGTCTCCATGAGAGAGTGCTATGAAGTTAATTTAAACCAGATTTCAGAGAGGCTGGAATGCAGGACGATGGGTAAGTCTGGTGATGAAGGGCTGGACTGGGACTTGAGACTATTGGGTTCAGTTCCCTCCTCTACCAGTGCGACCTTGGTCAAGTCACTTAGGCCGAGGTCCACGAAGATATTTAGGATCCAAATTTCCATGGTAATCAATGGATCTGGGCATTAGTCTATCTGTGCTTCAGTTCCCCATTTGTAAAAGGAGGCTCCTACTGCCCTACCTCCCAGGGGTGTTGGATGAGAAACCAATAAAAAATATTGTGAGTTGCTCAGATACTAGGTGGACCTGCCAACATTTGCAAGCAGAGAACCAATAGGTTCTATTTATAGATATGTGCTTAAATATGTATCAGTTGTCTCTGGCCGACTCACAGCCAGCTGGTGCATCCATTCCATCTGTCTCACCCAGCATTCATTGCACTTCCACTTTCATGCCATCCTGTTATTCTGCCCACACGCTCATTCCACACAAACGCTGTCCTCAGACACAGCTTTCTGCACCGCTGACCCCTGGATACAGACAGAGCCCCTCACTCTGCACCCCCAGCCCCACCAGTTCTACAGGCACCCAGGCCCTCTGCACACACCCTTTCTAGACGTAGGTCCCATCACCCTCCGGGGCAGCTCAGCAGGTGCCTCCTCACCAACCCCCAAGCTGCACAAGGGAGGGAAAGCACAGCCACAGGCCCTGCCTTTACAGGCAGAGCCCAAGGCAAAGATGGGGTTCCCATATGTTATGGGGAAGTCTCCACCTGCCCAGAGCACCCCAGACCCATAGTCTCCCCTTTATGTGGGCAAGAAACTAGTCCCTACACTGCCAGCTCCCTCAGTATCTGGCCTCCCAATTTTAATGCCTGGATCCCCTTTCCAGAAACCCCCCATCTCCCTATTATATCCCCCAGCTGAGGGGTTGGCTCAGCCTGGATCCCCCCAGGTCCCCAGCACCCACATCCCCCCTCTACCTGAACAGCTCCTTCTCTCAGGCAGCAGCTCCCGTCTCCACCTCTGGAGGGTGCTGAACTTTGCCAAAGAAGCCCCTGGAGTCCTCAATCCCTCGCCAAGGTGACTGCCAGGGGCCTCATGACCTGCAGCTCCCGCCGTGTGCCTCTGACCCTTCAGTCCTCCCATGTGTCTCTGCTGCCCCAGGGGTACCTCTGCCCGGCCCCCTCCATTTACCTGTGACAGCTCATGTGCTTCTGCTGCCCCCTCCCCTTCTGTCCTTCAGCCACATGTGTTTGCAGCCCCGTGCTGGGGTAGGTGTGGAGCAGCACTGCCCCAGGGAGAGGTCAGGGAGCAATTCTGGGTTTGCACGAGGAGCATCACCTTCATATTGGTGCACATAATAAAATGCATGTGGTGGGGCTGAGGGTGAGGAGTTTGGAGTGCGGGAGAAGGCTCAGGGCTGGGTCAGGGTGTTGGGGTGTGGGCTCTGGGGTGGGGCCAGGGATGAGTGGTTTGGGGTGCATGCTGCCTCGGGGCTGTGGTGGGGAGAGAGGTCTTCCCCCAGCCCTCTCTCATCGCATCAGCTCGGGGCCAGGGGAGAGGTGCCTCTTCCCCACCATGGTAACTCCAGCAGGGCCAGGCCAAGGGAGGGGCTCCTCTCCCCAGCAGCTCCGGTGGGCCTCAGCTGGGCCAAGGGAGGGGCTCCTCTTCCCCGGCCACAGCAAGTCCGGGGCTGGTCCGTGCTGGGGGAGAGGCATCTCTCCCCGCCGCAGCCCTGAGCCTCTGCCTGGGGCTTAATAGGCAGCTGCATGGCCATGCAGCTTAGAGGGAACTTAAGTTGCAACCCCCCATCAGAACACCCAGGAGGAAAATAGATAATTTTCTATTCAGTGGTTTGTGCTGAATGAGGCCTGGGGCCACACATTGAGTCAGCAGGACAAAAAGGATCCTGACTAGCTGTCCAGACAGCGAATGGGGAAAAAATGGGATCTGATCAAGTGACGTCAAAGACTGTATCATGGTGCACATGCACGAGGGGGCTGAACTCCTGTCCCACGGTCATCCTTAATTCTGGCATTTCCTATCTTTTAAGTGCTTGAATCAGTAACCTTATGTTCTTGTAACACAGGGATTTAATTTTTGTTTTAATTTAATTTGATATATGTATGTGTTATTCCTGAGGGAGGAGGCCGAGGGAGTCTGTGTGGGCTGGAGTTGTGAGCAGAGACTAATGGATGCAGTAGGGGACCAACCACCTGAGAGAGCGGCCATAACACCTACATCGCTCGCCTCAACATGTGAGTGTCTCTAGGGCAGCGGTTATCACGTTCACTCTATGTGCAGGCCTTATACAAGCAAATCCAGCCCCCTGTAAAGCTGTGTATTTAGGGACCCATATATGGACCATCCCTTGGCAGTAGTACTAAAGCTGACTTACACCAGCTGAGATCTGCCCCCAGGCAGAAACCCATCTCTCTGCTTCCATCCCAAGAGGAGTGGGACCAATGGATTCTGGTTCCCATTTTTCTTATTTCTCTGCTGAAATGAACAGCAAACCTCTCGTTTCCATTTCTCAGGTGGGACAAGGGCTTCTGGCAGCTGCAAACAAAAACAAAAACCTGAGAAATTCTTAAAATGAGGCAACAAAGCCCCAAATGGTGGCAGGTGGTGGGGTGTGAGCCAGCATGGGAGCTCAGAGTTGCTGCTTATTTGATCTCAAAGAGAATTTCCCCAGAAAGACGACAGAGATTAAGAATTTCACATGGATGTATCAGAAACGTGTCCTCCCTTCTTCCGTTTAACAAGCAGCAATTTCCTTCTGAGTAACTGTATGGGTGACTTGTAAAACTTTCCAAGCTCATTTTTGACGCTTATGATATTTGTGGTCCACGAAGATCCAATTCTGCTGACTTCATTTTTGTCAAAAGTTCTGTTTTCATGATTTTTTTTAATATTAAAGATAGTGATTCTTCCCCCCACCCCCAAATAGGATGTAAGCCTCAACTCCTGCTGATATCACTGCTATTTATTTATCAAGATTGCAAAGTCCAGTCCCCATTCTGTCTGCTGCTCGCTATGATACGTGGCTTGTCTTGGTTAAAGCTGCTACGATATTTTCTCCCAACATGGAATGTGTGGGAAGGGAAAAGTGGTGAACATGTCTATGGAGTTCATGAGCTCACTATTCAGAGAAACCAGTTGCTGAAGCCAAAGGGGTGAATCCAAAAGTCAATAAAAGGAATAAAACCCAACACAATATACATACGTGGACTAAGGCTTTAAATCACACTTGCTGTGGTATGAGGGTTGTTAGAGAAATTCAGAAAGTGCTGAAGATCACTTTTAGCTGAAGATGTTTTAGTTTCTTTGTGTTTCACAATAAACTTTGAGCAAACAGTTTCCTGTTCCTCTTCCTAGGTTTTTATATCTATCTATCTATCTGTGTTTGAACACAAAGAAGACTGAGAGAAACAGATCAAACCAGGGCATTCAGATGATGCTTGTGAGAGCGTTCTGACTAACAGTAAGTCCATCACTTTCTGCATTTTCTCTTGGGATGGGCTAACTTTAATCTGAGCTAGTTGTAGTTTGTACATGTGGGTGGTGAGACCTGTCAGAATGGGGCCCGTGGGTATGTTTACACAGCAAGTGAGAGGTGTCATTCCCAGTGCAGGTAGACATGTGCATGAGCTGTGTTTGTGCTCTCACCTCAAAGTAGCAGCATGGGCGGTGGCTTGAGCTAGCCACCTGGGTATGTATCCAGGGGGTCGGGCGGGATTTTACTTGGGCATCTAGCCTGTGTTTCCACCGCCACACTGGTATTTTTAGGCCCTAGTTCAAGCAGAGCTGAAGCTCACATCTGTCTGTCTGTCCAAGCTGGGACTGACACCTCGCAGTTGCTGTGTAGACGCACCCAGTGATGAGCTGCCAGAATGTTAACAACCGGTTCCCTACCGGGTCTTCGGCGGTACTTTGGCGGTGGGTCCTCACTCGCTCCGGGTTTTCGGCGGAACTTCAGCGGCGGGTCCTTCAGTGCCGCTGCCAACCTGGAGCGAGTGAACGACCCGCCGCCGAAGTGCCGCCGCCGACCCGGTAGGGAACTGATTATTAAGCACCTCCCGGTGAGTACAAGCCCAAGACCATCCACCCTAACTGCCCCATAGGGTCCCACCCCCTATCCAACTTGCCCCGCTCCCTGTCCCCTGACTGCCCTGACCCCAGGGGTGAAAGTAGAAATAGGGACTTACCGGTACGGGGCTGGGTTGGGGTCAGCTCTGGCCCTCGGAAGGGGCAGGGATGGGGGGTCAGAGCCAGCCCCGGCCCTCCTTGTACCGGTAAGTGTCCTCCCCCTCCCCGGCCGGGGTAGCAGCGGCAGGGCCGCTACCGCCCTGGGCCCTTTAAACTGCTGCCGGAGCCCCCAGCTGCCACTGCTACCCCAGGTCTCCAGCAGCAGGGCTCCAGCGGCTATTTAAAGGGCCGGGGCCGTAGAGGCAGTGGGAGCCCCAGGCCCTTTAAATAGCCCTCAGAGCCCTGCCGCTACTCCAGGGCTCTGGGGGCTATTTAAAGGGCCCAGGACTCCCCTGCTTCTACAGCCCCGGCCCTTTAAATAGCCCCCGGAGCCCTGGGGTAGAGGCGGTGGGGCTCTGGCGGCTATTTAAAGGGCTCAGGGCAGTAGAGGCAGCGGGAGCCCCGGCCCTTTAAATAGCCCCAGGGCTCCAGCAGTGGGGCTCTGGCCGCAATTTAAAGGGCCTGGGGCTCCAGCCGCTGCTGGGAGCCCCAGGCCCTTTAAATTGCTGCCTGGGGAAGCCGGGCTGCCCCGGTATGGCGCACGGGGCGTACCAGCTTACTTTCACTTATTTTCACTGCCCGACCCCATCCACCACCACCCCGACAGACCCCCAGAACTCCCATGCCTACCCAACCCCCCGTTCCCCATCCCTTGACTGCCCCCCTAGAACCTGTATTTTCTGGGTTTATATTTTTGAAATATTAATTAAATTAGGGTGTCCCACCTCTATGTTCAAATCCAATTGGCTGATAAATACTATTAGTATAGCCCGTATCTTCCTAAAACCTCACTTGGCTTTACAAACATTAGCTAAGATGCACCTCACCCTGTGAGTTAGATCAGTAGGATTATCTCCATTTTACAGATGTGGAAAAAGGCACAAAGAATCATTTGTGAGAGAGAAACACTGAGGAGTTATGAGCCCAGTGACCTTCTCCCACCATTAGCTTACTTCTTTCCTGTACATGGGAATAATTGTTGTTATTAATGATCCAATTAATGATTAACACCAAGACTTTACACTGCATTTTAGCTTATCTCTTGATGCCCAGTGATGGGAAACCAAAGCAGCAGAATCAGTGACCTGCTCTTACGAGCCCTCGACAACCTTTCTCAGGAAGACTTTAAAAGATTTAAAGACAAACTATTACATTCTGACTTTGAGGGGAAAGGTAACATCCCCCGAGGTCGGCTGGAGAATGCCGACAGGATAGATACGAAGAACCTTCTGATGGAATTCTATAGTGGAGACGCTGTGGTAGATGTAACCATAGACGTTTTCACTCAGATCGACCTCCGAGAGTCTGCTGCAAAACTCAGAGAAGAAAGAGAGAAAGGTAAGAGACATAAAGTTACTGTAAAACCTGATAGTCTGCCCCGAGAATCTCCCCCAGGGCAGCAGCAGCAGGAGCAGAAGGAGAAACAGGCTGATGGCAGGAATGACAAATTCTGAATCCCAGCAGGAAGCCCGGGGGACTCAGAGCAGAGATGCCCAGAGTGGGTCAGATTCTCTCACCTGCTCCACTCCCTTTTCACCACTCAGCTGTCTCAAGGGGAGCAGAGACAGCCTGTAACTCTCCCTCTGAGGAAATCCCCAGTGTGGGGGAGTCCCCAGTGGGTGTAGGGCCAACAGAGCGGTGCAGAGGGAGGGAGTGCCATGGACAGGGAGAGGTGGGAGGAGGAGTAGCTGGAATGCATCCCCAGCTGGAGGATCATTCCTTGGTGACCATTAGCAACTAGTGCAAGTAAGACCAGCCCCCAGGCTGCTCTAACCTGCGCCAGAGCTGGGACAGAGAATTGAGGCTCTGTAACTGGTAACTGATCACAGCAGAGTATGTTATCCCCAAACAGCTGGTTGACAACATGAGACATTCCTGGGGTTCCAGGCAGGATCTTTATTATCTCCAAGGCTATCTTTTAATTCAAGAAACAAATTCAGTGCAGTACAAACAGCCAAGGAGCCAGCAAACATGGAGAGCTGCAGTTCCAAAGGCTCCAGGCCGCTTTGCAGTGTCCCACAAGAGTGTAAGAGCCAGTGCCAGTGGGGAGGCAGTCTTTAGTGGAGCAGTGTTAAAATCCATGTGCTCAGTGATGGAGCTAAACTCAACCCTGTTAGTCATTCCTGTTCCACTTCCCTGCCCCCCACGGTGCCAGTGGAGCTCAGCTGGGCTGGTTCTGCCGGGGGTCCCTGGGATGGAACACTCCAGGGCTGGCAGTGGGGCTCTCCCTAGAGGCCTTTGGAATTCACTCCCATGGACAGTCCCCCAGGGGGAGAGTTTAGAAGCCTCCAGAGCGCAATGCAGGGGGAAGTTACTTGGTTTAGACTGTGAGCTCTGTCAGGCAGGGACAATCATGTTATGTGTGCGCACAGGACCTAGTACAATGGGCCCCTGATTGGGAATCTAGATCCTACCATAACTCAGTAATAAAATAATAATTATTGAGGGGTGGGGAAAGGGTACTTTATCCCCCTAAGTTAGTCACAGATGCTTGGCAAAAGGAGTGGCAATATTTATGCAAACATTTCTGGTTGCCTATGCAACGTTTAATCCAGTCAGCATTCTATCAATAACTGAATCTAGTGAAAAGCTAGGGGTTGTTGGGGAGAGGCCCCAAGTGGTAGTTATCCCAAACGAACAAATTCCCTCGGGCTGTCCTTAGTGTCTGTTTTAGATCCCTAGGTTTTAAAGGCTCTCCTGAGCCACCTAGCCCATCCCTGAACGAGAGCAGAATTGTCCTTTGCATGGACTCTTTAGTTGTTTCACCTAATCTGTGTTGGAACATGAGTGTTTGTGAGGGAGTCCCTCTCCCCACAAACACTCCTGAATTGACTCTTTGTCCCAGTGCTAGTTGTTCTGTGTTTCTCTGACCACATGGCCGGCTCATCATGTAAAGTGCAGACTAGTCATCAGTAGAACCAGGCAGGGGGAGGTCCGAGAAACTGAACTCCCTTCGCAGTATTCCCCAAACTGAACTTCATATACTGATGGCTGGTAGCCATGCTCTCCTTGGTGATTACTTCATTAACACAGGATGCAATTGCATCATTCTGTCACTTGCTGCCTCCGTACAGAACAGAAACTCACTTGCATTGAAATACACTCTACATTCTTACACTGTTGTTTAAATGTAATTTCCCTTTCAGAGTTTCATCAGAGTCAAAACCCATCAGAGTTGTCAGCAAAAGGTATGTGATGGCTACCCAGGAAGTTACCTAAGGACAGCGGTTCCTGCTTACTCAGTTGGATACGTTCCCAGAACTATTGCTGTGAAACAAAAATGAACAGTTTACATGTCTATAATTCCCCAGGTTGTCTTTGTTCCATCATTAAAAAGATATTTGCCCTTCTCCAGCCCACTGGGACCTCATCCATCCTCTATGAGTTCTCTGAGAGAGTGGTTCAGAGATTGCTTCATCTAGTTCCTTAAGTATCCTAAGGTGAATTTTTAGGCCCTGCTGACTTGAATGCATCTAACTTATCTAAGTAGTCTTTACCCTGCTCTCTCCCTATTCTGGCTTTTGGGTCTTCCCTCTTGTTGTTAATAATAATTGTGTTAGCATCTGGTCACAATTAACATATTTAGTGAATACTGAAGCAAAATAGGCATTAAACACCTCAGCCTTCTAGGTATCATCCATTATTAGATCTTCTTCCCTGCTAAGCAGTGGACCTATGCTTTTCTTTGTCCTTCTCTTGCTCCTGTTGTATTTATAGAGCCTTTTATTGCTTTCCATGTCCTTCACTAGGTGTAACTCATTTTGTGCCTTAGCCTTTCTGATTTTGTCCCTACATCTCTGTGCAATCCTTTTGTACTCATCCTAAGCAATTTGTCTGTCCTTCCACTCTTTGTGTCATGGTGGATCCCAGGAATTGCAGCCATGATGGGGAAGTTCGCTCCTTCCATTTCACGTGTTCTTCTGTTCCATTTAGCGACCGCCAGAAAAACTCTGTACAAAATGGGGTGGCAGCCTCATGCCATTACAGCGAACCGATCAAAATCCTTTGGTGATTTCAATTATAAACATTTTTCCTATTTCCAGACTCTCTCAGCTCATTGTCATGCCAACCTATGACTTTACCAGGAGCCTTGCAGACCCCCCAGTGCTGCTTTTCTAGGATAAATGATCCAGTTTGTATCAATTGTTTTACAAACAATTTTATATAATGGGCTGAGAGGGACTTTTATTACCTTGGGCAACTTCCAATACAGATGTGTGCAAAGTGTCCCTCTGGGTCAGTACTGAGCAAATGTACTAGCTTCATGCTGGAGGACACTCTGCTGTAGGGGCACCATCTCTTAAGTGAGAAAGGTAACTGGAGGTACTCAATTGTGGTAATTAAAGATCCTGTGATGCTCTCTCTTGTAAACCCAGGTGTCCTGACAAATTCTAGTTTATGAAGTTACTTTCTTTCCACCTACATTCCCAGTATTGTTTCAACTGCATATGATATTCTCTTCCACTGGTGACCTATCTTGTTGTGTAGTGTTCCTGTGCACTGTCAGACAGTAGCCGGATTTCACCAGAGAGGTGGCTGCATTTCACTGAGAATGAAGTGATGCCTTCAGTCTTTACTCAAATGAATAATTTCAGTGGGGCGTCCGTATTTGAGTAAGGGCTGCAGGATCTCACCCATAGTTAAGTGATTACAGGCTCCTTTTTGAAGAAGGTTTCATTATAAATGTGAAGAACCATTATTGTTGTTACAGTAGAACTATTTTAAGAGATTAGACTGATATTAGTCTGTCTGTTTTCTGAACTTTCAGTTCAATATTTCTAATGTCTCATGTTGCTGATACAGGTTACCAGAAGAAGTATAAAGAAGATATTAAAAAGAAATACAAGCTAATAAAAGACATGAACAGTCGTTTTGGTGACTATATGATTCTAAACAGAAGATACACAAACCTGACTATTGTAGACAGACCTCGTCAGGCAAAGGAGAGAGAACATGAAATAACGGCCATGGGATGGAGACATGCAGAAGTCATGACTGAACGAGCTAGTTCTGCAGTTACACTGGCCACCCTCTATAAACCTGATAAAGATGGACAAACACCACAAGTCGTTGTGCTGCTGGGAGCTGCTGGGATTGGGAAAACAATGACTGCAAGAAAGATCATGTACGATTGGGCAGCTGGGGAACTCTATAAGGAAAAGTTTGATTATGTTTTCTACATAAACTGCAGGGAAATGAACCTTCTTAATGAGCAGGGAAGTGTGGCTGACATGATTTTTAAAAGTTGGCTTAATACAAATGCACCAGTTAACCACATTCTGGTGAATCCAGAAAAACTCTTGTTCATAATAGATGGGTTCGATGAACTGAGATTTTCCTTTGGTCAGCCTAAAGATAATCTGTGCACTGATCCCTGGGAGAAGAAGCCAATGGAAATCATCCTGAGCAGTTTATTTAGGAGAACAGTTGTTCCTGAATCCTACCTGATGATCACTACAAGACCAGCTGCCCTGGAGAAACTCGGGCAATGTTTGGAATGCTCACGTTATGCAGAGATCCTGGGGTTTTCTGAAGCTGAGAGGGAGGAATATTTCCACAAGTTCTTTGGAAATGAAAACCAAGCAAGACAAGCTTTACAATTTGTGAAAGCAAATGAAATTCTTTTCACCATGTGCTTTGTCCCCTTCATATGTTGGATCATCTGCACGGTTCTGAAACAACAGCTTGAAAAAGGTGAGAATCTCACACAAACTTCAAAAACAGTCACTGGAGTGTATATGCTCTACCTTTCCAGTTTAGTCAAGCCTCTCAGCAACAATACGAAGCAACACTTGCATGGAAATCTGAGGGGACTTTGTTCCTTGGCTGCTGATGGAATCTGGAAGCAAAAGATACTGTTTGAGGAAGAAGAAATCAAGAAGTTCGGCTTAGATCAAGAAAACTCTCTCCCCCTCTTTTTGAATGAGAATATTTTTCAAAAAGAAACTGACTGTGAATGTCTCTACAGCTTCATTCACTTAAGCTTTCAGGAGTTTTTTGCAGCTTTGTTATATGTCCTGGCGGAAGATGAAACAACAGATTCAGGGATTCCAAAGAAAGATGTGAAAACTTTGTTAGAAAACTATGGAAACTCTAAAAATTATTTAATGTTAACAGTGCGATTCCTGTTTGGGCTCTTAAATGAAGAAAGAATGAAGGACCTGCAGGAAAAATTTGGGTGTAAACTTTCACCTAAAATTAAGGCAGATTTATTGAAGTGGGTTCAAGCAAACCAACAAACAGATTTAATCTTGCCCTGTGTTCATGAGGGGATTTATCAAAGTTATCAGCTTGAGTTGTTTCACTGTGTATATGAGATGTATGAAGAAGATTTTGCAGTTAATGCATTGGATCACTTCACTGAACTGAAATTAAATCAAAAGAAATTTACCCAGATGGATCAAAGGGCTCTTTCATTCTGTGTAAAGCATTGTCATAGTCTGGAGTCACTTTGTATATATGACTGTACATTTAGTTTAGAAGACCATGAGGAAAAACTCCCAAGACGACAAAAGTGGCTATATCAGTAAGTATTCGCTGAGCTGAAAAATCTGTAGTTTCATTAACAGATTAAATGTTGTTTTCCCTATGTCTTGATAACTACTAATTGGCTGAATGACCCACCTGAGAATAATTCTACGGTTACTGTAAGCTAATGATACAGTTATCACACTACCGAAAAAAAATGACCTTTTTTAAAAAAAATCATGATTGTTTGGTCTGCTGTCCTCTCAATGACTGAAATGTTTGCTGTACTGTTTTGTGGATAGATATAAACAGGGTGAGACAAAAGAGCGGGGGAGGGAAACCTGCTTTGTGTCAACAATTGTACAAGGAAGGTTGAGAGCTGCTCACTGAGACCTTCCATGATGAGGAAATCACTAGGAAACAAAATACACACTTCCACATGCCCGGTATACAACTAAGACACCTTTATAGTAGTAAAACTGCACCCACCCTAGGGATTGTACTGGTCAGAACATTTTGGTAAAAATTTGTCTCCTAACCAAAATAGTTATAGCAGTACTAAAACTGTGTGTTGATCAGGCCTCAACTGAAAATCAGCATGTAGTTTTACTGGGCTGTTGTGGGTAGAAGGCAGTGTGTTTGAACAGTTCACTGATATTCAAATAAAAATTCAGAACAAAACCAAAACTTGAAATTTCCTACAAAATTCTGAGTTTCAACCAGCTCTAGCTGCAATCAGAAGACGGGTGTTGTCACCACCAAACTATGCGGCAGAGCTTTAAAATAACAAAGAACAATTGTTTTCACTAGAATGCTTCACCACAATTTGCTGCATATGGATAAAACTAAAATTACCATTTTAAAAAAAAAACAGTATTACATAGGATCTTAAAAATATTTCAGAAGCTTCTTCCTATCAGTATAATTGGATTTTAACAAACAAAAAAGGTGCATTCAATAATTGGTGGTGTGTCTCAGTGTCGGTATTAACAACTGCTCAGCAGGTCTCCAAAAACAATCCTAACCCGACCTACTATGTCTCGCACATCTTGCAAGACTGTCACATGTTTCCACATAACCAGTGCAATGTCATGCATGGGAGTGTGGAGTTTTTTTGTTTTTTTCTGGGTGAGCGAAGATACTACAATAGCCAGTAGCTTAGCGGACGGTGCACTGAGGTACCAGCTAAAAGCTTGTAAGTTCTAATCCCAGCTGTTTTCTTGGCTGCTCTTGATATTTCTCTGCCTTTTTCATCCCTGTAAGCGAGCGCAGACTCACCCAGGAACGCCTCCTGCTGGTCTCTCAGGGAATTAGCTCTCCAACCGTCAGGGCAACCTCTGCAGGCCAGTGATCCACCTTACCACTGGGCCCCCATGTCCCTCCCGGACCCCGGTGCCCTTGTCTTGGGTGCTGCCCCCACCCCAGCAGTACCCCCACACTCTCCAGTTCTGGGTCTCCCCACCCAGGGGAACTCCCACCCACTATCCACACTTCACCTCAGTCTTGCCTACTGCCCAGTCTCCATCTAGCCCCTGTTCACTGGGGCAGACTGCAGTATAAGCCACTCATCACAGGCAAAGAGGTTTGGACCTGCTGCCTCTGGCTACCCATGGACTGCCCCTGTAACCCAGTACCTAATAGGCCTTACCAGGCCTGCAGCCTGGGGCTTTCCTAGGCCGGAGCTCCCCGGCTCCCTTGGCCTTTCCCCAGCCCTGCTCCCCTCCAGATACCTGGTTAACCGCCCTGCAGCCAGGCCCTTCTCTCTCTGAATGCAGAGAGAGAATGTTGAGCTCCTGGCTCCCAGCCTCTTATATAGGGCCAGCTGAGGCCTGATTGGGGCGTGGCCCAGCTGCAGCTGCTTCCCCAATCAGCCTAGTAGCTGCTTTTCCTGCCACAGCCCTCTCCCAGGGCTGTTTTAAGCCCTTCAGGGCAGGAGCGGGGTAAGCACCCCGCTACAATCCCTTATTAACATAGGCCTCAAAACCCTGCCTTAGGGGAGGTATAACTATCACCCACCCATTTTACAGCTAAGATAATGGAGAGATTGGCAAGTTTACATCAACAGAGCCGAGGATAGAAACCAGGCCTCTAACAGCATGGATCTAAGCCTCATCCATTTTGACCACCCTGCCTATAAGGTGAAAAGAGCCAAAATATTAATACATTCAGACAGAGTGGCTCTTTGTTCCTGTCTAGTGACTAGATCAGGGGTGGGCAAACTTTTTGGCTGGAGGGCCACATCGGGGTTGTGAAACTGTATGGAGGGCTGGATAGGGAAGGCTGTGCCTCCCCAAAACAGCCTGTCCCCCGACCCCTATCTGCCACCTCCCACTTCCCACCCCCCTCCGAACCCCTGACCCCCCCCCCCCCCCCCCCCCCGCTCCTTGTCCCCCGACCGCCCCATCCCTAACCCCCCCTGGGACCCCACCCCCTATCCAAGCCCCCTGCTCCCTGTCTTCTGACTGCCCCAATCCCTATCCACACCCCCACCCCCTGACAGGCCCCCCAGGACTCCCAAGCCTATCTAACATGCCCTGTTCCCAGTCCCCTGACCACCCCCCCCCAGAACCTCCGCCCCATCTAACCGCCCCCTGATCCCTGTCCCCTGACTGCCCCCAGGAACCCCATGCCCCTTATCCAACCCCCTCCCCGCCCCCTTACCATGCCGCTCAGAGCAGCAGGAGCCCGCAGCCACACCACTGCGCTGCCCAGCAGGAGCGGCGGGCCAGAGCGCTTGCGGCGCGCTGAGGCTGCGGGCGAGGGGGGACAGCAGGGGAGGAGCCGGGGTCTAGCGTCCCTGGCCGGGAGCTCAGGGGCTGGGCAGGATGGTCCCACAGGCCAGATGTGGCCCACGGGCCTTAGTTTTCCCACCTCTGGACTAGATCGTACAGTGAGCAGTTCACAGATCTCTAGTAGCCTCTGTACTCATGGGAGTGGTCCTTTAAATCATGTGAGAGATGCTCATGTTTTGAGGTTGAGAGCCCAGGACCACTCCCTGCAGATCAGCGCTGGCCAAATCAGGCAGGGAACTGATCTGATCCTGGTCTCTCACATTTCAGGTCAGTGTCCTAACTACCCAATTACAGAATCAGTCTCGCTCTCTCTGGCCCAATGAATACTTAAGGATTTGCACAAAGTGGAATAGCTCCAACAGAGAGAAAAACACTAACCATAGGGTTATTAGCTATTCTGGGGTGAGATCTCTCTCTCTTCTTCTCCCCAGAGGTATTAAGGAATGTTTGTTGAACATTTTCTAACCAGTTCTACTGAAGACAACCCAAGCAGGAGGGTTGTTGCAATGGCTCTGCTGTCTCTAACCAGCAGAGCTTAGACTCCTCCCAGAGCAAGGAAGAGAACCCAGCCTGACAATCTTGAAACCCAACAGCCTAGTGCTAGGGATTAAACACCATACCCCGGTAATAGGATGTTGGTGGCCCCAGAATGAATTGAGATTGGTCAGTACCAGCTCCCACCTCACAAACTCACCACCATGTGTTGCACTAACTAGTAAATGATCACGTTTAGTCTAATGGGCAGAAGTTAGTAAGCAGGAGTCATGTGCACCAGCTGCCCAGCCATTGTCAAGTGTGTTGCAGGATTCACAGCAGAGGTGAGTTTTAAGGAGGGATTTGAAGAAGGCTATTGCAGAGGAGTAATGGAGTTATGACGTGTTCCTCCCTGGCATAGGGGATAGCAAGGGAGAAAGCATGAAAATATTATGGTCTAATGAGTAATGAAAGCTGGCATGGTCGGCAGAGTAGAGGCAGAGGTTGACATCTTCATAGTGTACTACAGTTGACAGACAGGGCAAGGCTAAGCCATAAAGGGCTAAATGGTAAAGATGAGTAACTTGTGTTCGATTCAGTGGAGAGGGGTGGCTACGTTACCAGGAACACATCTCCCCTAAACGATGCTGCCTGCACTGGCTCCCTATTGACTAGAGTTGAGTTAAACGTGGTTGTACTGACTCTTTTCAAAACACTGCATGGTGCTGGCCCCAGCTGAGAGAGTGAGAGAGAGAGAGAGCTCCAGTCCCTCCATGACAGTGACTTGGCCTGGTGGCTTTGTTCCACAAGAAAAACCAATCTGTTGACAAGGAAGGAAAGGCTTGTCTCTGCAGGAGACTCAGTTGTCACAGCTGTGGGGCCACAATGGTGGAACTCACTGCCCAATGTAGAATCATAGAATCATAGACTTTAAGGTCAGAAGGGACCATTATGATCGTATAGTCTAACCTCCTGCACAACGCAGGCCACAGAATCTCACCCACCCACTCCTGTAACAAACCCCTGACCTATGTCTGAGCTATTGAAGTCCTCAACTCGTGGTTTAAAGACTTCAAGGTGCAGAGAATCCTCCAGCAACTGACCTGTGCGCCACGCTGCAGAGGAAGGCGAAAAACCCCCAAGGCCTCTGCCAATCTGCCATGGAGGAAAATTCCTTCCCGACCTCAAATATGGTGATCAGCTAAACCCTGAGCATGTGGGCAAGACTCACCAGCCAGACACCCAGGAAAGAATTCGCTGTAGTAACTCAGATCCCACCCCATCTAACATCCCATCACAGGCCATTGGGCATATGTACCGCTAATAGACAAAGCTCAATTAATTGCCAAAATTAGGCTATCCCATCATATCATCCCCTCCATAAACTTATCAAGCTTAGTCTTGAAGCCAGATATGTCTTTTGCCCCCACTGCTTTCCTTGGAAGGCTGTTCCAGAACTTCACTCCTCTGATGGTTAGAAACCTTCGTCTAATTTCAAGTCTAAACTTCCTGATGGCCAGTTTATATCCGTTTGTTCTTGTGTCCACATTGGTACTGAGCTTAAATAATTCTTCTCCCTCCCTGGTATTTATCCCGCTGAATTCATCCTTCTTAAACATGGGAGACTAGAACTGCACACAATATTCCAGATGAGGTCTCACCAGTGCCTTGTATAACGGTACTAACACCTCCTTATCTCTACTGGAAATACTTTGCCTGATGCATCCCAAGACCGCATTAGCTTTTTTCATGGCCATATCACATTGGCGGCTCATAGTCATCCTGTGATCAACCACTACTCCAAGGTCCTCTCCTCCTCTGTTACTACCAAGTGATGCGTCCCCAGTTTATAACAAAAATTCTTGTTATTAATCCCTAAATGTATGATCTTGCACTTTTCACTATAAAATTTCATCCTATTACTATTACTTCCGTTTACAAGGTCATCCACATCTTCTTGTATGATATCCAGGTCCTTCTCTGTATTGGCAATACTTCCCAGCTTTGTTTCATCCACAAACTTTATTAGCACATTCCCGCTTTTTGTGCCAAGGTCAGTAATAAAAAGATTAAATAAGATTGGTCCCTCCACTAGTAACCTCCTTCCAGCCTGACAGTTCACCTTTCAGCGTGACCCGTTGTAGTCTCCCCTTTAACCAGTTCCTTATCCACCTTTCAATTTTCATATTGATCCCCATCTTTTCCAATTTAGCTAATAATTCCCCATGTGGAACCATATCAAATGCCTTACTGAAACGGAGGTAAATTATATCCACTGCATTTCCTTTGTCTAAAAAATCTGTTACCTTCTCAAAGAAGGAGATCAGGTTGGTTTGGCACGATCTACCTTTCGTAAAACCATGTTGTATTTTGTCCCAATTACCATTGACCTCAATGTCCTTAACTACTTTCTCCTTCAAAATTTTTTCCAAGACCTTGCATACTACAGATGTCAAACTAACAGGCCTGGAGTTACCCATATGACTTTTTCCCCCCTTTCTTAAAAATAGGAACTGTGTTAGCAATTCTCCAGTCATACGGTACAACCCCTGAGTTTACAGATTCATTATAATTTTTTGCTAATGGGTTTGCAATTTCATGTGCCAGTTCTTTAAATATTCTCGGATGAAGATTATCTGGGCCCCCTGATTTAGTCCCATTAAGCTGTTCGAGTTTGGCTTCTACCTTGGATGTGGTAATATCTACCTCCATATCCTCATTCCCATTTGTTGTCCTACCATTATCCCTAAGCTCCTCGTTAGCCTCATTAAAGACAGAGGCAAAGTATTTGTTTAGATGTTGGGCCATGCCTAGATTATCCTTATCCTCCACTCCATCCTCACTTCTTCTCTCTTTGTTTTCTTCTTATTTATATGGCTATAGAACCTTTTACTATTGGTTTTAATTCCCTTTGCAAGGTCCAACTCTACATGGCTTTTGGCCTTTCTCACTTTATCCCTACATGTTCTGACCTCAATAAGGTAGCTTTCCTTGCTGATCCCCTCCCATCTTCCACTCCTTGTAGGCTTTCTGTTTTTTCTTAATCACCTCTCTGAGATGCTTCGTCATCCAGCTTGGTCTACAACTCCTGCCTTTGAGTTTTTCCTCCTTTCTTGGGATGCAGGCTTCTGATAGTTTCTGCAACCTTGACTTGAAATAATTCCAGGCTTCCTCTGCCTTTAGATCCACAAGGTCTTCAGTCCAATCCACTTCCCTAGCTAATTTCCTTAATTTTTTTAAGTTAGCCCTTTTGAAATCAAAAACCCTAGTCACAGGTCTATTTTTGTTTATCCTTCCATTTAGTTTGAACTGAATTAGCTCATGATCGCTCGAACCAATGTTGTTCCCTACAACCATTTCTTCTATGAGGTCCTCACTACTCACCAAAACCAAATCTAAAATGGCATCCCCTCTTGTTGGTTCAGCAACTACTTGGTGAAGGAATCCATCAGCTATTGCATCCAGGAAAATCTGAGCCCTATTATTATTACTAGCACTTGTCCTCCAGTCTATATCTGGAAAGTTAAAGTCTCCCATGATCACACAATTCTGATTAGTATTTACTTCATTAAAAACATTAAAGAGGTCTCTATCCATATAGATGTAATAAGAATGGAACCCCCTGCCCCCCCCCACACACACACTGCCTCAAAACTAAATACAAACCCTACATCTCTGACTGAGTTTTCCCACAAGAACCAGCTCTCACCAGCACTGTCATGTTATACATGTTCTTTTAAAATAACCCCAGTGATAACCATGCTCTTTCCTGCTGGAGGGGAGATGTCTTGTGGAAGGCACTGGGACACCATGGTGTTGGATGACCTTACAATAATCTAAGTCTTCAGCATAAATTTGACTGTCAAAGCCACATTTTGAATGAAATTTCCCAGTGTCAATGTGTAGGTGGAGAAAAGGAGGGGCCAAGGGTGGAGCCCTGTGGGGTGCCAATGAAAGGTGAAGGGGGATGGGAGGATGCAGCACATGAAATGCTGACGAGAGAGGTAGGAGGAGAAGCAGGAGATAACAGATTCCTGAAAGTTGAGGGAAGAAGCAGTTTCAAGAGGAGGAGAGTAGGCAAAGGTGTTAAAGGCAGTGGAGAGGTTGAGGAGAGGGAGGACCGAATACAAAACCTGAACTTTGACAAGGGTGAGGTTAATAAAAACTAAGATGGAAGCTTCAGTGGTGAGGAAGCCAGATTGAAGAGGGTGACAAAAGACAGGGATTTGGCCTGCTCTCCTTTTACCCACCATCTGCCTCAGTGACACCATCGACCATCCCATCCTATCTTCTGATCTACCTTGTCCCTAATACCCTTCCATTCCTTATGTTTCCCCCCCCCAAACTCTGGTCCATTTCCTTGGCAACATATGTGTGATTTATTTGCCCCCATGATAAAAAACCCTTCCCGTGACCCCACTTGTCTCTCCAATTATCACCCTGTCTCCCCGAGTCTTCTACGACTGCTGTTTAAGAAAGACCTGATTATTAGAGCTGGGCAGATAATAATGAATAACTCACTCAATGAATGTTGCCTTTTTCACAAATTGTCCAAACAATTTCATTTTTTTAAAATATTAATTTTTCTAAATTATTCATTTTGATTGGACACACAGGTCATAGATATTTCGGTTCTGTGAATCAATGAACATAACTATGAGAACCAGATTTCTGTACGAATGCTCAGGATTACAAATACAAATTTTGCTTTCACTTGAATATTCTGTAATAGTGACTTAAACATGTTGCTTCAACAACATTCCTGTTTGCAAATTCCCTTTGCTAGAATATTTGGAAAGCACACAATAAAGATGTGTGAACACAGTGGAAGTAAATTCACTTTAAAATTCATCTGAATATTCTTGAATTTTAATTGTTTAATTATTCAGCACTATTTCTTATAGAGATGCTGCTTTAAAATTAACCTGCCATTTTACACTTTCTGCTGTCAGGAACCAATAAGCTCCTGTCATAAATATAAAGGGAAGGGTAACACCCTTTATGTATGCAGTAATATAAAATCACTCTTGGTCAGAAGTACAGAATCCCCTTATCTGTAAGGGGTTAATCAGTTCAATTAACCTAGTTGGCACCTGACCAGAAGGACCAATGGGAAAAGAGGATACTTTCAAATCTGGGAGAGGGGGAAGGCTTTGTTTTGTGCTCTGTGTGTTGTTCTCTCAGAGACAAAGAAAGAGACCAAGCAAGTAATCCAGCTCCTACGGAATAATACATCTAAAACTACAGAAATAATAAGTAATAGCAAGGAAATGTGTTAGATTATCTTTTGTTTTAGCTTGTGAATTTTCCCTAGGCTAAGAGGGAGGTTTATTCCTGTTTTTTTGTAACTTTAAAGTTTTGCCTAGAGGGGAATCCTCTGTGTTTTGAATCTGATTGCTCTGTAAAATTATCTTGCATCCTGATTTTACAGAGGTGCTTCTTTTACTTTTTCTTTATAATAAAGTTCTGCTTTTAAGATCCTGATTGGTTTTTAGTATCCTAAAAACCCAAGGGGCTGGTCTGTGCTCACCTTGTTAATTCTCAAGCCTCCCCAGGAAAGGGGGTGAAGGGGCTTGGGGGGATATTTTGGGGAAACAGGAACGCCAAGCGGTCCTTTTCCTAAATCTTTGTCTAACTCACTTAATGGTGGCAGTGATACTGTTCCAAGGACAAAGAAGAATTTGTGCCTTGGGGAACTTTTTAACCTAGGCTGGTAGAAATAAGCTTAGGGGGTCTTTCATGCGGTCTGTCACCCTAGAGTTCAGAGTGGGGAGGGAACCCTGACAGCTCCATTTCTGGTTACTAATAGGGATGTAATTTCACAAAATGTAACCCCAATTATATAATATTGAATAACAGTTGTCATACTTAAAATGTTACACAAATACTCATATTTGGGTTTTAGCTTTGTGGGCAAATTAAAGACAACATTCCTAGTTAAATAAACATGATAATTTCTATTGTATCTCCAGAAATGATACAGCAGTTACTGCCTAAAACATAAGCATAAAACCTCTGAAGGTATTCCCATTTGTGTGAGTAGTGAGAACTGGATTTGAATATTCAAAGAATCAGAGTACCCCAAGTTCCTAAAATGAATGGGTTAACCTTAGTAGCACATATTCTATTTGACTCCATGTACTTAAAAAGTACTAGATGCAGTTTTGAATTGGGGGATTTACAATTAACTGTAACTGCGGAATAAGCTATATGCAGTGTATGATCACACTGTCCAAGAGGCTATTTCAATGTTCAGGAAATAGAATTAAAATCTGTCTTCAGAGAACAATATAGAAAATTTCTATTTTCTCCTTTTTAAGGAAACAACGTCAGGGTAAGCCAAAACATTCGCCTATTTACCTGCTCTGTCAAGCACTGAAGGATCCAAACTGTAAATTAAAGAAACTAGAGTAAGTAACTATTCTTTCCTTTTTAAATCCCCTTATTACTGCTGCTATCCCAGAAATTCTACAGCAGTGCAGCTCTTCACCATGGTTGGTATAGCGACCACATAGAATTGTGTAACTTCTGAGGATTGTGTTTAAATTTGCAGTTAATACATGTGGGGTTAGCTTAGTCAGCCTACTGCTGCAATGACAGTTAACCCAATTACCTTACCCACAGATGAGCCTGAGAGACAGAGGTAAGCAGTGTGGCCAGGGGAAATTTTTGAGATTAAGAAAGACTCAGGAAGTAGGAGAGAGAAGCTAAGGTATTTTAATCTTAGATATTTCTAAGGTGCCTGTCACTAGAGCTGGGTGAAATTTACATGGTGAATACTTGATTTGGCAAATAATGCAGTTTCGGGTCAACTGAAACTGTTCACAAATTCAGGTCATATCTGATGAATAGTTTCGACTGAATAAAAATGGGGGGAAAGTTTCCAAAAAAGTCAAAATATTTAGTTTAGACATTTTTGAAACAAAATTTCAAAGTTTGTGTCAAAATGATGTTTTCTTAGGAAAAATTAGCTCAGTTTAATTTTTAAAAAAATAGAGTTAAACAAAAACCCTGAAAACTAATAATTTTGTTTAGGGTAGCATAAAACATTTCATTAGAGCCCAAACTAATTTTTTTACATTTTTTTTTCATTTTATCGGGAAAAATTGACTTTACTGTTTCAGGTGAACCCAGATAAAATATTTCTTTCATATTATTGAGCTCAGGCACTGAACCAAATAATAAATTATTCACCCAGTCCTATTTGTCACCAGGGTATCTAAGCCTTGAACATATCTATTTATTTAACATTTATGTATCATATTGGATTTCATTTCTCCCTGACTCACAGGTATGGTTTTTTGGGAGGGGATTGATTTCTTTCTTTCTCTCTCTCTGCTCCACCCCTCAACTCTCTCCCTGCTTCTTTCTCTCTCCTCTTACTATACCATCTCCATCTCATGTTATTACTTAGTCCTGCCTTGAGTCCAGGGAACTGGACTAAATGACCTATTGAGGTCCCTTCCAGCCCTACACTCCGTGATTCTGTGCTGATCCTGGAGTTGTTCCTGGGAAAGTCTTTAGCAAAGAGGTGATCTTGCATTTAGCCCTGAACGTGGCTAGACCAGGACTCAATCTGATCCCCTCTGACTAGGAGTTCTACAGCAGGGCTCTAGCTGTTTAGAATTCTCTGCTCCAATGCCCAAGAGTCTGAGCCTGGGCTCCTCTAGTTGGATTGTCCCTGTGGAGCACAGCTGTTCTGCAGGGTGCTGGGGAATAAGTGGTTTGAGACTACGTCTGTGCTAGAGAACTTTGACCTTACCAGCAGCAGCAGATCTTCCTAACACACCTGTAACACTGCACAGCCACGTACTCACACACTTACAGCGATGCACAAGAGATCACATCACCTTTGGATTTTAATCAAATGCAATGACATATTGTCGACTACCATGTCCCTCTGCACTGATTCAGCACAAGCATTGGCAGAGCAGCTGCAGTGGGGCAATAAATATTCCTAGTGCAATCTGACAATGCCCCGGACAGCTCTGACAGCTCAGAGTACTGGCGTCATCGTGACAAGCTGCTCACTGAAGCTAAGCAGGAGATTTCATAATGTGGATGAATTAACAAAAAGTGATGCAAAATTAGCAACAGAAAATTGTTTCCAAGTTCCAGCTAGTTCTGCTACTTGTACCCCTGCTGCATGCCAGCCCCAAAGCATGTGAAGGGAGACTGGCCGGTCTTTGCTCTGTCTGGCCCCAAACATTTCCCTCCCCCTTCCCCCCCCCCCCCCAGGTTAACAATGCCAAAAATACACTGTGACAACATCTGAATTTCAACTTTAAAACAGAAATCTTGGTTTTATTTGGTCCCTTGAGGATTCTTCTGAAAATCATAAAAGGGAAAAGCAGCAGCTAGTGAACATTGTCCTGGTGCGTGTGCACGTACATTTGCACACATTGCATGGTGTGTTCACTGCCTCAGCAGCAACTTCCATACTGGTGAGATCTGCAAATACGAACACAGAGCAGGATAATGAACTAATGAATTAACAGCCAGACTAGGGTGACCAGATGTCCTGATTTTATAGGGATAGTCCCGATTTTGGGGGCTTTTTCTTATATAGCCACCTATTACCCCCTCACCCTCGTCCCGATTTTTTACACTTGCTATCTGGTCACCTTAAGCCAGACAAGCGCTACCCTCTGCACTCCCACACCTCCAAGTAACTCCATTTACTTTCCCATGGTTCTCATTGCTCCCATCCTCCCCCGGGAAGCTGCACATGCCCCAGGGACTCTACAACAGGAAGTGGGGAAGAACTCTGAAGTCTCTGGACTGCATGGAGGAGGGGCCCTGAGTGATATTCTTCCTCTGAGCTCAGAGCACGGTCATCTCAAGCTCCCAAAGAGCTATCTGCAAAGGAATGGCTAGTTCAGCTCCAAAACAAACCACAAAACGAGAACTGAAAACATAACAAAACAATCAAAATGACTGAACAAATGACTAAAACCAAGGCCCTCACGAGCACAGACACCCATAGCTGCTGGTGCTCTTCATGATACATCTTGGCCCTGCAGGCCCACAAGCAGCATGGCAGAGGGCGGTGGGAGCTGCTGACCCCACCACATCATCTGCAAGTGAGAGGATGTTCCATTCACAACGCATGTGCAGATTTTTGGGCAGGACAGAACCATTTAAAGGAGGTGATGCAGCAAACTAAACATATGAAGTGAGAACATACACTGTAAGCCATAGATCTTATGCTCCTGGTTCAGGAAGCTGTGTTAAGAAGTGTGGGTGAGATGCAACAAGCCACAGGCCTGCAGCGTGCTGTTTTTGGACATAATGCACCAGAGTGATATGCTCACTTTGGCCTTTGTAGCTTAAGGAGTGATCTGCTGCCAGCTGAATGGGATGCCTATACCATCCCGAGAGAGAGTGAGTTGTGGCAGTCCAACAGAAAGGTGACAAAGCCATGGACGACAGTGGCTAAGGACTAGGGAATAGAAGTGCAGAAAAGAATTAAATGAAATATCATTTTGCTGTTTCCAGGCCCCAATGGCCTAATGTAATTCCATGTTGAGGAAAAAAAAAAAAAAAGGTGGTCTCCAAAAGGGAGAAAGCTATAAATTCACTGTAGAAATTCATAGACTCATAGATTGTAAGGCCAGATGGGACCATTACATCATCTAGTCTGACCTCATGTATAACACAGACCATTAAATTTCATCCAGTTACCCCTGCACTGAGCCCAGTTACTTGGGTTTAACTAAAGCATCTTCCAAAAAGGCATCCAGTCTTGATCTGAAGACATCAAGAGATGGAGAATCTACCACTCCCCTTGGTAGCTTTGTTCCAATGGTTAACCGCCCTCACTGTTAGAAATTTGTGCCTCATTTCTAATTTGAATGTGTCTGGTTTTAATTGCCCGCCACTGGTTCTTGTTATGCCTGTCTCTGCTAGACTAAAGAGCCCTGTAGCACCTGTTGCCCGAGTAGAGCTGGGAGATGATTGCTGGCTCCAGGCTATTGAGCTGGCTCCAGGACACCTTCATTACTAGCCATGACAGCCCTACCCAGTTGTTTAGGTGAAAGGGTGTCAGAAAGCTGGCGGTGTGTCTTTTCTTTTACCATTTGACATTTCTCTACCCCAGTTACAAAAAGAAATTGCTATTGTTTGAACCGTATACAGTTCTTCCCCATAACATACCTTCCTCCTCCCTCCCTCATCACCCTCCTCTCCTGCATTCCCCATGCCCATAAAACCACATGGCCCTGTGATGAGGTGTACAACCCATACACCAGCCAAGAAGGGGCTGACAACTTGTAGGTTCAATCAGCCCCACCTTGCTATACCAGGAGTAGGTGTCAGGCCTAGAGTGAGGGGCTAAAAGGAGAGTACCAAGCTGAGTGGGTGGCTGGCTGGGAAAGGGAGTAGCTCGCTGGCTCTCACTCAGTGAGACAAACCTGTCTGGAGCCAGAAAGCTGGCTCAGGCTGCTGCAGGTCAGGGCCTCCTTGAGGCAAGGGCAGCCTGAAACAGGGAGCCCAGGTGTGGGTTAACTAGAAAAAAAACAGAGCAAATAGAAGGGCTTGGTCCAGCCACAGGCTGGGATGGACAACTCACCCTTTTGGTTTTGTGTTATGTGTGTTGGAACTTGGCTAGCCTGGAAGAGGCAGAACTTTGGTGTGACTTAACTGGAAGGTTAAGTCACCACAGACTGGGTCACAATGGAGGTAGCGGATGACCACTGAAGATCCTGAAAGGAAACTGAAGCAGGGTGAATTGTACCATGGTGGACCACAAGGGGTTGCTGCGAAGGCTGACCCGACCACAGGCCCTTATTCACCAAACTCCATATGGCTCTGAATTCCCACCAACCCTCTGCAACTCCAGAGTGGCCTTAGTTCCCCTCAGCCTTCCTCAAACCGCAGTTGACACGGATTTCACTTAATCTCCTCTTCAGCCTGTTGTCCTACTGCTCTCCAGCCTCGTGGCCCCACACCTCATCCAGCTCCCCAGTGGCCCCCATGGCTCCTTCTCTCCCACCCCCTTGGAATTTTGGGTGAGGGTGGTGAGCTTTCCCCTCCCCTCCGTTTTCTTGTGAGGGCAGCCAGCTGGCCCAACCCCCACCCGTGTTTTATAGGGCCTGACACGTGGGTCCATTGTGCTCCAGTCCTCTGGGGTCAAGTACCAGGGATCTTCCTTCAGGGAAGTGCTGCTGCCCTTACCCAACTTTTCATCGTTCACTGACAAAAATGAGGTTGCTTGCTGGGCTCCATCTCTGCTTTTTATAAGCAAAGCTGGTGGGGTGGGGGGGGGGGAGGAACTTAATCCCCAACCATGTTTTCCAGGATCTCTGGTTGTTCTCAGGGTCTAGACAGTTTGGGTTTGTACATTTCTCTGATTTCCAATCCTCGTTCAACTGACTTTAAAGTAGATCCTGAACTTGTAATTTCCAGGCTT